AACATCAAATTCATGTATTCCATTTGTAGACAATTCAATGCTGAAATTTTCACAGAAACAATAATTTGAGCTTTTTTTTCTGTTTTGTATTTCAGGACAAGTTGTGCACAGCATACAAGATTTCACTGTGTAGATTGGCCTCATTGTAATCCTCCTGTTTACCACCTTCCAAGTGCTGGAATTACAGGCATGTGACACCATGTCCCGTTTCGATGGCCATCCCAGCACACCCAGGAGCTGAGCCGGAATGGCAGGCCAGGGGTGGAACTCCTGGCCCCTGTGTCTGACTGAGAAGGTGCTTTAATCTGCTGAGCTGTTTGACTATCCTAATTTGATCTTAAAGGAAGCTCAATATGGGAGATTTATTGAAAGTTACTCATTTTTAGTTATTCTAAATATTTAATATGTTTAAAAATTACTTCAGTTTTCAATTGTTGAAGATAGAAATTTACAAAACATTCAATTATGAGGGATTAGAATAATAAAAGGCTATCCTTCCTTCAATTTTACTTCAGAATAAATTACACACTTAATGTGCTGGAAACGCCAATTTAAGAGAACCTGGTGAAGCAGCCTTAATTCGCTTCCAGGCCCAGGTGCTTCTTCCTCTGCCCATGAGACAGCTTGCCAAAGCACACTTGGAGTCAACGGATCGGTTTTCAGGTGTGGTTTGACATGATTTCAATCAACATAGTTGCTTTCATACTGCCCTGCCACTCTCCAACAGTTTCCTCCGCATTCTATGTTTAAACCCCATATATACGTATATATGAATATTTATTTCTTTAATCTTAACCATTTAATGACAGTTTATTTTTGCATTGTATTAGTTCAATACAGCAAACTCTTTGAGCTCCTGTAGGTGCTTGCTCCTGTGCATTGGCAGAACTTTTTTTCCTCCTAAGTACTCAGAGATGCATTTGTGTTAGTAAGTGTTTTGACAGCCTCATCAGATGTTGTTAAATTGGTATCTCCAGCACATACAACCACCCAAACTGCTGTGTAGCAGAGTTGCCATTTTTTTCCTTTCTTGCTTTTCTTTTTTTTTTCTTTTCTTTTTTTTTTTTTTTTTTGTTTGTCTTTCGGACAGGGTCAACTGGGTCTACACGGTCTCATTACATAGATCAGACTCTTAGGGATTCTCCTGTTTTCAGGCTCTCAACTGCTGGGATTTCAGGTGATAACCACCTTGCTCAGTGTCATCACTGTCTCAGTGCATCCCGAGGGTAGAGCTGGCACAGTAGGCCAGGGATCAAGCCCCAAGCCCCCTTGTCTACCTAAACCTGCACTTTAATCCACTGAGCTATGTGGCTGGCCCATTTGTGATTTCTCTGAACTCGGGCCCCTTTGCATTACACCCACAAGCTGCACATGCCACCCCGAAACAATAATATTTTCATACTTAGCCTTCTGCTATTGCCTCTTTCCTGAGATTTTACCTAAAGAGCCAACTTCCAAGATATCTTGTGTCAGAAAACAAGTTAAACTGCATAAATCAGATGATCGATATCCTGGTTGTATCTCTTGTCTTACTATCCCTGACCTGCATGGTTTCACAGCGATGATACAAGTGATAGAGAAGCATGGTAGGGCATGTTGATGATAATCCCTATAAACTTTCTCTAACTTTTTTCAGGACATTCTCAATGCAGACTTGTCTTCCAAAATATTAACCATCCCACTGAAAGGTCCTTTTTGGCTCACATAGTTATCATCAATTGGTTTGTGTGTCTTCTTTAGAGCAAACAATCTTGTATTTTGACTTCCTGACACTAGATCTTTTAAAGTTTGCTGCCTGCCTTTCAGCCGGAGTAAATTATTGGCAGATCTTATGATGCCTCCTGGCAAAGTTTGTTGTTCTTTAATGCTCTCTGTTGCTAGCCGTCTTTAGGGAATTCCATCCTGGTTCATGATGACAGCTTTCAAACTCAGTGGCCTTTGGTGATACCAACTCACACTATAAAAGTTCAACTTTCTCTCCTGACAATTGAAAGGAGAGGAAAAGCATGCCAAAGAAAATAAGTATTATTAGATGGAAGCTGTTATTACTTGAACAACTCAGTGCTAAAGGAACGTGGAAAATGCATATAATTAAACACATATGGCTTATGTTTGTAGAATCTCAGCCATCTTGTTTGCTATGGGTAGAAGAGCCATTTTCAATAAATATGAAAGAAGAAATGGCAGAATGGTCTATAGGCGCTGAAAGGAGAAGTCGTTTAAGACAGGCTGGTCTTACACATTTTGTTCATTGTTTAGAAAATATAAACAACACTCAAAAGTAAAATAGGGAAGGTTTATTTACCTCATGGTTTGTAGAGTTTTGAGTTCGTAGCTGACTTCTTGTATGGCAGAATGGCAAGGCTGAGGGCCTCAGAGTGGACCAACATTCTTGCTAGGGAAAAGGCAAAAGGCAATAAACTATAAGCAACACACAGCAAA